GGGTGAGGGGTAACCGTAGGGGTGGGGTTGAGGCTGGCCATATGGTTCTGGTGGGTAGGGGCTTGGGTTTTGGGTAAAATAGGCCTGGGGTGGGGGGTGGGTGGAGTAGGTGGGCCTGGGGCCGAGAAGGCCGGGATAAGGGCTAGGGTTCGGTGTCTGCCAGGGCTGTCCGTGGGTGGAGCAGGGATTCGATCCGAAGCTTCGACCTCGACCGCGGTTGCGGTGACCGCCACGGCCACGGCCACCGCCGCCGCTATGGTGCTGCTGTCCCTGGCCGCTGCTGCTGCTGTGATGCCCGCGGCCTCCGCCAGCGAGGCTGTGATGGGGGGCGCCAGGGCTGCCGGACGAGAGAAGAGCCGTGCCAGTGGAGGAGTCGTCCTCCAATTCTGATTTTTGACGCTCCAAGAGGAGGAGGGCTGATCGGGTCTGAAGGAACGTCGGAGGCAGTGTTTGAAACTGCAAGAAGGACGTCTGACCCCGCATGTCATCCGGCAGCCCCCGAAGGACTTGTAACACCAGTTGTTGTTCTGAGACGGGGGCATCTACGTCGTCCAACCAATCGGCGATATTCTTGAGGGTTTGACAATAGACCGAGATGAACAGAGAGCCTTTCCTCGTCGTCCGGAATTGATGTTCCAACTGCATGGCTCGGGCGGGTTTGTTGTCATGGAAAAGAGAGTGAATGGATCGCCAAAGTTCCGCGGCCGAGTTGGTGGAGGAGATCACGAGATCGGAGACTTCGTCGTTGATCGTAGAAAGGATCCACCCTTGGAGAAGTGCATCAAGTTGATGCCAATCGATGTCGTCGGCACTGGACGGGACTGATTTCCCGGTGAGGAAGTCCCCAAAGGAGAAGCGACGAACCAGTAGGAGAAATAGACTGCTCCACTTTTTGTAGTTTGGTTCCGTAAAGCTCAACAGAATTGGAACGTGAAGCTTCACATTGGAGATGGTGGTGAATGCCAAGTGAGGAGTAGAAACGGAGGAGATGGGCTTGTCGGGGGTGGCTGCTTTCTCGGACATGATGGTGGCTGGTGCTGTGGAGAAGACAGCCGCTGTAGAGACGGGAGAGATGACTGGTGGTGGCGCCGCTGGGAGACAACTGGGAGACGAGAGAGACGCCGGCGCTGGAGAAGGCAGGCGGCGCTAGGGTTTGGTGCGACGGGAGAGCTGCGCACGAAGGAGAGAAAAATTTTAGGGTTTAGGAAAGAGGCTCTGATACCATGAAGAATAATTGTTTTCTGTATTCATCTTGTGGAGTCAAGCCCCGTATATATACAAAGTTATCGGTCTCCTAACTATGGTAGGATACAAACAAGGAAACCCTATACAAAGGAAACTACCATATATAAATATATTAAATATACAATAATATATTTAACACGTAGGTTACAAGTAGGGTGGCTATAGCAACTCTGCCAGAGGTATGACAGGAGTCTAATCGCGGGCCCCTTGATCTTGACTTCAGTCAACTCCTTTGCCCAGGTCTGGTCTGTTGCTGCCCAGGGCCGAGGCCGAGCGCATGACCTGTCTTCGGAATTAAGATGCGACTTTGCAACTGTTTATTCCTTATATATATATATATATATATATATATATATAACTACAAGAAAAAGGGGATACAAGGACACGTAAAAAAAGTCATCTATTATATACAAGGACATTTAACCAATGTGTCCTCTATCTGGGAGTCATTATAAGTGTAAAACAAGGACACCTAAAATGTGTCATCTTTTCTTTACAAGGACACACCAAAATTTCTTCAAAAGGTGTCCTTATATCAATAAGAAGACACCTAAAATGTATCATCATATTATCCAACATGCGTCTTCTTTTTTATATTAGGACACTTTTTGTGTGTTCTAAAAATGCTATGAATCAATAAGATGACATTAATACTCTCAAATTCATGGAACACAAACATTATGTTCTAACAAATATAATAAGCCTTCATATCATCTTTTAATTGTCATTCTAATCAACAAATATAGTACAAGAGTTCTAATTTTACAAAGTAGGCTAAAATTCCAAGAATATTTAATTACAATCTAAAGTATCTATTAATTTATATGCAATAAGAGCCCTGGCAAGCTCCTTGTAGAATGTATCCTCAAAGGTACTGGAGAACCTCATCCAAAGCTACTGGAAGATTTCAGATCTGCCACTTTGATATGTAATGATAAGGAAGCCAATGTTTATCCCCCAGAACTGAATTACCTCTCTTGTGCAGCTACAACCTAGAAATTCTTGACATAAAAAAAAAGGAATAAACAGTTGCAAAGTTGCATCTTAATTAGAACAGCCTCTATGAGAAAAGGGAAGTTAAATGTGATTAACTCAATAAAGATAATATTATATCCACCCTACTAGAGAATAAGAAGTTGCTAGTTATTTTTTGTCAGATCATCTCCTCTATCCTTTGTTTTTCAAGAAAAATGGATTGGAATTCTGAAAACATTTAACTAGTTTTCAACATAATGACACCAAATATCCAAATACAAGCTCTAATATATCCAATGAAAGACAGTGCACTAGCACATAGTGTAAGTCATAATACTTACAAGTCTTTAGGAATTGGCACATAAACATGGCTTAGTTCAAGGTAAAGGAATCTTCCACCTGGCTTGAGCACCTAAGAGACAAACTAGAGAGCCACAGAAACTTTGTAAATGCACTAGGTGAAAACTTATAACAATTGTCCTCATTATAGAAATTGTTCCATGTTCATGACAGAAATTGGCATTGTTCTCTTGTGCTTCACCAGTAAACAGTGTTGCTCTCCTGTTAATCTGCAAATCACAATTTGACATAAGTATTACCTAATTTTAGCTAACCAAAACAATAATAAACATATAGAGATAAGAGTTGCAGAAAACTCGAGTCCTATTCTTCCAAGATCTAACCTTGCTATGGCTAAGAATTTTGCACTTTTCCGATGTCAAAGATTTAAAACATTCTCATTCTGCATTCACCATTAAAAGATTAAGTATGTTCAATTCAGCATAACAACACAACAAACACACTTAACACATATTGGATTCAAAATAGAATTTAATCGACCTTTTCCAACACAATAAAAAGCCAATTTGAAATCTATTCAAGTTACTAAAACATAAGCAATATTACTAAAATAAACAATAAGCACAAAATCTATGCTAAACAAGAAGGGGAAATAAAAACACCTAGGATATGAAGATTATACCGACAAACAACCAAAGACGCTCGATTTTTCAGACTTTAGCGATGGATTTACCGCTGGTAGTCGCTTCAAACAATCACTATTCATCATCGCTCTCCTTGTGTATGCTTGCTCTCATGTGCTTTGTCATTGACTACCCCTGTATACACAAGTGTTACATTGCTTCTAATCTACAAATCACAATTTGAAAATTCTGACTTGGCACGGGTTTTAATGTAATGCTAAAATTGCTTTGACTTTCCACATCTGCCCTTTTGTTTTTTATTCTTCCATCCCCACATCACTGACAGTTGTAGTTTTTCGGGTAGTAAACCTTCCCAGTAAAGGGTTAGTTTTCTCTCCGAGTGTCGTGTCTCTCGAGGAGTGGACGAAGGGAATTAGTTTAATTACTATAACTAGGCGAAGATTAGGATTGGTTTATGAAAGTCTTCTCGGAACGATTATAAAAGGAGCAGAGTAAAAATAATAAATTAAGTTTACATAGTATAAGTATAGATCTGGACCTAGGGTCAGGACATCATTTGGATCTATTTTATCGTATTAAATTAACAATTGGAATAATAATATTTCTATTACTACTCATCCATTTCTAGATTTGTACTTAATCTGTTGCACTTGAATATCGTAGCCTTTTAGCATACAATATCTTCTCAATAAATAGTTAATTAAATCTTTCGAGAATAATTAACTAAATAAGGCAAGAACAATAGATTAACCATTCCAACATTAATTTAACATCAAAAAAATAAACAACCAAACTAGTCTAGACCCAGAGATCCATACCCTAACTCATACTATGCAAACATAAATTAAAA